CAGGTTTTATTCACAGCCATGCTCATGAAGGAAATGTATTTATTTAATTACATTGTAGAGATAGAGAAACCTGTCAGGGATGGATGGAAATTATTAGAACTCAATGTATAAGGCTAATTGTCTACGTAAGATAGGACTTGGAATAAGTCTTTTTACAGGGATATTAGGCCAGTTGGCATAGTGGGAAATCGAAAAATGGAGACCACGTGGGTATCACTGGAATGCTTGAAAAAAAGTGGAAATGTCAGGTGTTCAGAGAAAATTCAGAATTTTCTCTGAATGTACAAAAAATGTACAAAAAATATTTATAAAATTAAACTGTAAAGATTCTGGACATGGTTTACATATCCTGAACATACAGGATAAGAAAACACAGAATAAGATCACAGAGTCATAGAATAATTAAGGTTGGAAAAGATCCCCAAGATCATCTAGTTCAACCATCTCCCTACCACCAATATCACCCACTAAACAATGTCCCTAAATACCACATCCAGCCTTTCCTTAAACACTCCCAGGGACGGTGATGCCACCACCTCCCTGGGCAACCCATTCTAATGTCTGACTACTCTTTCTGATAAGAAATGTCTCCTAATTTCCAACCTGAACCTCCCCTGGTGCAGCTTGAGACCACTCCCTCTAGTTCTACCACTAGTTATCTGTGAGAAGAAGCTGACCCCCAGCTCCCCACACCTTCCTTTCAGGTAGCTGTAGAGAGCAATAAGGTCTCCCTTGAGCCTCCTCTTCTCCAGACTAAACAGTTCCCTCAGCCACTCCTCACAGGATTTGTATACCAGGCCCTTCACCAGCTTTGTAGCCTTCACCAACCAGACCCTTCACCAACGGCATGAAGTTTAACAAAAGCAAGTGCCGGGTCCTGCACCTGGGATGGGGCAACCCTGGCTTTATGTACAGACTGGGCGATGAGATGCTGGAGAGCAGCCCCGCAGAGAGGGATCTGGGGGTTGTGGTTGACAGCAAGTTGAATATGAGCCAGCAGTGTGTCCTGGCAGGCAGGAGGGCCAACTGTATCCTTTATCAAGTATGGCATTGCTAGTCGGTCAAGGGAAGTGATCTGCTCTACTCTGCACTAGTGTGGCCTCACCTCGAGTACTGTGTGCAGTTCTGGGCACCACAGTACAAAAAAGGACATTAAACTGTTGGAGGGTGTCCAGAGGAGGGCGATGAAGATAGTGAAGGGCCTAGGGGGGGAAGATATATGAGGAGAGGCTGAGGTCACTGGGCCTGTTCAGCCTGGAGAAGAGGAGGCTGAGGGGGGACCACAACACAGTCTACACCTTCCTTGCAAGGGGGAGTGGAGAGGCAGGTGATCTGTTCTCTGTGAACACCAGTGATAGGACCCACAGGAACAGTGTTAAGCTGAGGCAGGGGAAGTTTAGGCTTGACATCAGGAAGAGGTTCTTCACCGAGAGGGTGGTTGCACACTGGAACAGGTTCCCCAATGAAGTAGTCACTACACAAAGCCTGTCTGAATTTAAAAAATGGACTGTGCACTTAGTCACATGGTCTAAACTTCTGGGTAGACCTGTGCGGTGCCAGGAGTTGGACTTGATGGTCCTTATGGGTCCCTTCCAACTCGGGATATTCTATGATTCTATGATTCACCAGCTTCATAGCCCTTCTCAGGACACACTCCAGGGCCTCTATGTCCTTCTTGTAGTGAGGGGTCCAAAACTGAACACAGTACTTGAGGTGTGGCCTCACCAGAGCAGAGTACAGGGAGATGATCACCTCCACGTGGTCCTGCTGGGAAGGATATACGACCCTTCATGTTTGTTCAAGAAGGTTCTCTTGTTTAATTTTGGTTGACCAAATCTCATGAAATCTTATAAAACTTTGTTAATTAATAAGTTATGTGCCATCTCTCAGTTCATTTGGACTTAACATGTCTAACCTACTACCTCCTCCTTTTCAACCATTTCCCACATTTTTCAGTGTCTGTGGATTTCCCTTAATAACATTCTCTACTTTGCAATACTTCCAACCATGTTGTGGCCTCTTGAGTATCAAACTTAGGGAGATCCTAGACAATCAGCCTGAAATGGATAGTATAGCTTAAAGAATGAGTCCATTAATGTCAAATTTGGACAGTTTCCTAAATGTCCTTAGTACATGCCAAGTAATTGTCTTAAATATTCATTTCTTAATATAGTTGTTTCTCTTTATATAAATAATTATGCTTAGTTGAGATGGAAGACAGAAATTATTCTGATTTCAGAATTCACTCCTGTGAAGACCTTTGTAGCCATAGGTTGAAATATCATCTTCAGATATATTTGTATATGGAAAACAAACAAACAAACAACAATAACAACAAAAACCAGCAGGAGACATGGAGAAAGAACTTTTTTGATTGCACAACTGTCTTATGCTTTGGGTATTAACTTGAGAGAACAGTCAGTAAGGTTCAAGTAATATCAGTTAATGGAGGATGGACAGGTCTCACTTAGGAAAGGAAAAACATTCTTATGAGGAAAAAATTGTGGATAATGACTTGGAATAAAATAGTTTTTATATTCACTTCTTAGGAATAAAAAGGATAATGTTAATTAATTCTACTGAATAGTTTCCTTTGTCTGTCTGAACTCACTCCCGATTTATTTATTTTCCTCCTGTAACATTGCACTATGCTTTCACTAGATCTGATCAAACTCCTGTATTTTTAAGTTGGACTCCTAAATTTAGTCCTACTGAATGTAAAAGGGTTGAGTTCAAGATCTTGCCATGTTGTGCAAAAAATATACAATAAAAGGCATATTTGTACACTTCATTTCACATCAGTGTCACAAATTCGGTTTAAGATATGTGGTATTTAATGTGAAGCTAAGAAAGGCAAGAAGCAAAATCATGTGATTAAGGGAATATGGAAAAATACATTGCTATCCCAATGTTACAAAGCAATACATATGGCTGACAAACACTTGACATCACAGTGCCTCACAGTTTTTCTTTATTCTTTAGGAATATTCAACAGAATCATCTAGGTTGGAAGAGACCTCCAAGATCACCTGGTCTGACCTCTGACCTAACACTAACAAGTCCTCCACTAAATCATATCACTAAGTTCAACATCTAAACGTCTTTTAAAGACCTCTGGGGATAGTGACTCAACCACTTTCCTGGGCAGCCTATATCAATGCCTATCATCCCTTTCAGTAAAGAAGTTCTTCCTAATATCCAACCTAAACCTCCCCTGGCACAGCTTTAGCCCATTTCCCCTCGTCCTGTCACCAGGTACGTGGGAGAATAGACCAACCCCCACCTCACTCCAGCCTCCTTTAAGAAGGTACCTGTAGAGTGCGATAAGGTCGCCCCAAGCCTTCTCTTTTCCAGGCTGAACAATCCCAGCTCCCTCAGTTGCTCCTTGTAAGACATGTTCTCCAGACCCCTCACCAGCTTTGTTGCCCTTTTCTGGACTTGCTCGAGCACCTCGATGTCCTTCTTGTAGCAAGGGGCCCAAAACTAAACACAGTACTAGAGGTGCGGCCTCACCAAAGCCAAGTACAGGGGGACAATCACTTCCCTAGCCCTGCTGGCCACGCTGTTTCTTATGCAAGCCAGGATGCTGTTGGCCTTCTTGGCCACCTGAGAACACTGCTGGCTCACCTTCAGCCAACCATCAACCAATACTCCCAGGTCCTTCTATGCCAGGCATCTTTCTAACCACTTATCCGTCTTCAAACTTCCTGATCTAGAGGAACACTTTGGCTGCAGCCTAAAAGCCATGTGTACAGAAGCTCCCTCAAGCCAGCCAATCTTCTTCTCATGACCTGCCAGAAAACACCTGTCCTGGTTTCAGCTGGGATAGAGTTAATTTTCCTCCTAGGAGATGGTAGGGTGTTATGTTGTGGATTAGGATGAAAAGAGTGTTGATACCATGCTGATGTTTCAATTGTTGCAGAGCAGTGCTTACACTAAGCCAAGGACGTTTCAGCTTCTCACTCTGTCCTGCCAGCAGGCAGGCTAGGGGTGCAGCAGGAGCGGGGAGGGGACAGAACCAGGACAGCTGAGCCAAACTACCAAAGGGTATTCCATACCCTCTGATGTCATGCTAAACAATACATAGGGGTGGATAGCCAGGATGGGGGGGCTGTCTGCTCGGGGATAGGCTGGGCATTGGTCAGCGGGTGGTGAGCAATTGCATTGTGCATCACTTATTCCGTACACTGTTAGTAGTAGCAGTACTATTATTATTATTATTACTTTGTTTTCCTGTCTTAATAAACTGTCTCTGTCTCGACCCACAGGCTTCATTTTCCTATTTCTCTCTTCCTTCTCAGAGAAGGAGGGGGGAGGGTGAGTGAGCAGCTGTGTGGTGCTTAGCTGCCGGCCGGGGGAAACCACAGCAACAGCAATGTAATCATGTAACCGAATTAAAGCAAAAACTTTCAGTCCGGTCCTTGACTTGAATAGGGAGTGAGGATCCAGATCCTGGCATTTCTATGTGATAGTTTATATGCAGCAAAAGTAAATATTGTAGTCAGAGGTCATGGTGCTAGATTTTGAAAAGTCCTGCATAAAGAAGAGATCTCAGGAAAGCTAATTTAAATAACAGTAATGTCAGGAAAAGTCATTCTGATTCCTATATTCTTTATCTGTCGTGACTAGACAGATGAAAATCTACGACAGCAATTTTGCCTTTAAGGTCATTTTCTTTATTCTTTTATTTACGTTTATTTATCTTATTTTAACAGGCTCTGTACTAATTTTCCTCTCAGTATTTCCTGACAAAAATATGACCCTTACGCACCTTTTGTAGTTAATTCATTAGGTCAACTCTAACCACTAAGCCCCTTGTCAGGTTATTTCTCTTAGTGATAAGGACCTTAAAACATTAAAACACAGGTAGATGAGCCTATTCCACAAAGTCTCTTGGCTCCACCCTTGTGAAGTGAAATCTGCCAGGTGGGGATCATTTGACCTTTGCTATATAGGAAGCTTGAGGACGGATGGGAAGAATTGCCTCCCCAGGGGAGTTAGAGGCTTAGGTTACCTAGGGTGCTGTTCTACTGTCATGGTGAAATGGACTCAGTGTTCCCCAGTAAGCTGCTTTTTCTTCATGTTTTCTACTGTCTCTGTGAAATAGTTTTAGAGACTCTAGGTGCTAGTTATCCTTGGTGGTGCCTTCTCAGTACAATAAAGCCCTGGTGGTACTACTTCACTGGGAAGTAGATTGGCAGTGACTCAAGTTCAGAGGCTGGCAGGTAAGTGTTCCCTGGGTTATACAGTTGTACTCATGCTGGGGAATTTGAGTACTTCCTTCACCTTGTCTGTTTTCAGTGAAGCTACTTACATGGATTCTAAGCTTCCACAGATCCTGTCCCTGGATCGCCTCTTCTATGTGAACAGCCAGAGACACTCATCCTACAACAGAAACACCTGTAGCACATTACTGTTGCTGATGTAGTCATTCTAGGCCCTTTTAGCATAGCTGAAGTGATGAGCTAAGACTTAGGTCATTGAAAATTAGACTACCTCACTTAATATATATACATTCAATCCTAAAGAGTGTCATGGAATATGCTAAAATATTTTCCTTTCAATAAAGATACATGTTGAGCATGTACTCAGGATATTATATATTTTCTATCTATCTGCATCTATACATTCATAAATTGTATCTAATAAAGCAATCAGAATTAGGAAACCCAGGATCTTTATTTCCTTTTTCACTTGTCCTAAGAAATTTTATACCTATTTACACATATCATTCCATGAAACCTTCTCCATAGTTTTTCAGATTTTGAGGTTTTTATCTGTTTATTTTTTTCTCCAGAAATTCATGAAATATTTTAAATTTGCAAACATCACAGTTTCATACAATGATATAATTATGTATTCTGCTTTGTTCTACATTATTTTGCTAATAATTCATATAATTGTGATTGGCTTTTGACTATTACTGAGAATCAAGCTTGCAGTGTCAGAGAACTAACCAAAAAGACCCAAGATCTTTTTCCAGGTGGAAAGAGTTAGAATGATGCAACCCTATAGTTAGGATTGTTTTTCTTGTGTGTTTCTGTGCAATAATTGGTATTGAATTTCATTTCTATTTTAACAGCTACCTAGATCATTCTGCAGCTGCTCAGAATCAGATTCATAAACATTTTGGTACAATGCTTGCAAGTACATCCACATATTTGTCCTTTTCTCTTTATGATGTTCTTTTGAGTTTTTTGTGTGGAAATCATTCACAAACAGAAAAAATGATTATAGATTTTTTTGTTCAAATGCATTTCTATGTAAGTAATTATTTCATAGATCTTTCTATTCAAGTGCCTTGTCCCTTCGTCTTTTTATTGTTTTTATTACTCATCTGGCACAATTATAGTTTACTATTAGCAGGTTCTAATATCATATTAAAGTCCTGGATAAAAAGCTGTGGTCATAGAATATGCTGATATTTAATATGAAGCTGTGTATTCCGAACATTATGAAATGTAGCAATATGATGCTAATATAGCTTATAGCGATAGAAATTCAAACCTTATCAATATGAATTGTCAATCAATTTCTTTTTGGCGTTAAGTACTATTGCAGTATTTTTCACAACTTATTAAATAAGTATGGGTTCAATTGCTGTTGATCCTTTATTTTTTTTCCTATGGACAACATTCAAATTCAAAAATAAGAAGGTTCTAGAAAATAACGGTAGATTTATTTATCCATGAGAAGAAAGGTCAAAGCTATTTGTAAAATGTTGTTATCTTACAGATGAAGCAAACAAAAGCTTCACTTTACATTTCTGAAGCCGAGAAAGCTAGTCCTTTATTTACTGAGAGACATCCATTGAAATGATTTCCTGAGTTATGACCAGAACACACAAAAAAACTGCACTGGGTGACAGTTTCAACTATTTTATTAGCTAACATCAGGATTCTGTTGATATACAGCCACATAGGCAGAAAAAATGCCAGGATGCTCAATGCAACTACTTGCAAATAAGGTATAAGACACTTACATGATCAAGGAAAATATCTGCAGTCAAATATTCATTCCCAGTTACTTGGAAATATGGTAGCTACTCAAATCAGATTCTGGGCCAAATTCAGCTACAGCATAACTATTCTTATTTACAAAATTGCACATGGCAATAGTCTCTTTGAAGTGTCTCAAAATGGGATTTCTTCTCTTAAAGTCTGAATGAGACCAACGGTTTAATTTCTGCTCTGAATCACATGGAGCAGGAGGTTGAATGTGGCTCTCTCCCTCTCAGATAAACATCTCACTGCTGTTGAGTACTGTCTGTCTCATCTCTTTAATCTGCTCTTTTCCTCCTTCCAGAAATGATTCATACTTGATCTGACAAGGGATTCACAGAGTCTCCCAAACACCTTGAGTCAAGACATCTGTTGTGTGAAGTGCATCCTCTCCCTGACGAAAAGGATTAATACAGTGGAATTGTCATCACTAAGTCTCAGAGCAACCCCATCCACTTCCAGTCAGCTCATTTTGGCTTTCTCACTTCACCCACAGTGATATTTGCTTGCATACTTTATGTGAGCATGTTCCCTGCTTCTAAAGACACAAGGATCAAGAAGGGTTTTCCCAGTTTTACTGTCAAATAATGACACCTGTAGAGAGTGCCTGATGACAGATTTGAGCTACCTGATAAGTATAAACCAATCCCCTTTGCTATCTGAAAATAATACATCAGCCCAGTGAAAAATAGCTTTGGCAGTAATTTGTTTAGTTCCAAGATGGATTTACTTTCATGTAAGAATGAAAAAAAATGCTTTTATGGTCATACAGAACCAATATTTGTCTCTGTTGATAGAGGTGCAGAACTGCACATAGGTGAGGAAATTTGTTTAAATTATGTTTCCTCACAATTTAGGGTCTCCAAGGCAGCTGCAACTCATGAAACAGTAGCAAGCAGATTCTGCATGCAAGCCAGGATCCTAATAAACTACTTGGCTGGGTGGTTGAGGCTGATCTTCATCATCGTGTCTGAGCAGATTAGAGATCTTTTTAAGCAAGACAATGCAAAAGCCTTTTTATACAGCATACACACACTGAACATAAGCCAAGCTTATTGAGTTTTGTGCTAGCAGCCTGCCCTCAGAAGAATCAGCACAGCACTATTTCTCCTATTCACAGCAGAGACCTGCATTTCTCAGGCTCATCAGTACAGGGCTGCAGTCTTTCCAGCTATGTTTTGAGAGGCAAACATGGTATGAAAGCCTCGTGAAAGATTTATGATAGATCTGCATCTTTATATGTTAATGCAAAACTTAAAGCTGCCATTCAAGCTTTTCCTGTTGCCATCTTACTAGTAAATAATATACTTGATTCAGTACCTTTACAGATTTATATGGCTGTCAACACATTTAAAAAAAACAAACAAACAAAACAAACAAACAAAAAAAAAAAAAAAAAAAAAACAAAACAGAAGTCTTGTGCCTCCACCACAAACTACAACTAGACAGAGTTACAGTGCAAGGATAGTCAAAGGATTTAAATGTGTTATGACTATTTTATCTCTCCCTCCTAACTTGGCTTCTTGATTTCTCAGCAAATATTTTTCATAGATTTTCTCATCTCCTTGAAAAATTAGGAAGAACATTTCTCCGAATCACACTCCAAAACCATGTTCATGGGATTCTAACGACAGCAGGATGATGATTTACTTTGCAATGACAAAAGGCTTGATCAGCACTTCTTCACTTCAGGCCATTATTCTGTGAAGAACCTTTCACATTAACTTTTAAAAATCAGAACTGAATTGAGAGACTAGTGCGTTGCATGGAGAAAGATCTGCCACATCAGATTTCTACAGATACACATTTTTACTGTTGTCAATGCACCTCATTCAAGGTGTAGTCTCAGTGTTAATTTTCTTATTTAAATAAATATCAGTACCATGTAACTGGTAATCATTTATAATGCTTAACAATTAAAAAAAAAATGTTAACATCCATAATGTTAACAATTTAACATTAGTTTAGGTAAAAACTGCAAAACCAGCAGCAGAAAGTGTTGTAAGGAAAATGCCATGAAAAGGGACTTTCTTCAAGGAGTGACAATGCTGTTCTGTATTTTTAACACATTATTACAACTGATTTTTAATGTAATTGCAATTATTTTACTTTTCTTTAATACATTAACAATACGCTATGCAATACGTACTGTTACTTTGTTTTGTAAACTTGCCAACTGAAAAGACTTGTCATTTCTTTTTCTGTTAGTGAATTGTCTACAGTTATTTGCAATCAAAGATATACAAATAACAGTAATATAGGTATTTTAGTAGTTATTTTGCAAAGCCATCATTAGAATAAAGTGATAATGTAAAAATCCACAGGCAACAAGAAATAATTAAACTGTCACGTTTCCCTGAATGGGTATAGATAGTTATTATTTTGTTTACTTTATGGAGAATTTATCTGAAGACAATTCAGAGTAACAGTATGGCATTTATTTTCATTTTTTTTTTTAAAGACATATAGATTTGGACACCAGAGTTTGCCATACGTATGTGTTCATTTTTAAAAATCAGACAACATAACATTCTGTTTTAATGATGTGGTTCTGGGCTCATTTATCTTTTTCATCTTTTATTTAAAACAAACATCTGGATAAAACTTGTATAGCAGCATTAGTGTCAATAGTCCTCCTTAAAGGCTTATTGCAGTACTAGAATGAAGGTGTCATTGCAACCTTTGTTGTACTTGTGAAGTTCTATTTGAGCTTTTGCCCATTTCTGTAGTTCTAAGCTTCCATCCTTTCTTCACAACTCTGATCTGTTTTTCTGTTCTAATTTCTGTTTCTGCTCTGATGTCCCTACAGAGCTCTTGTTCCAATAAAACCCACTAAACAGCTACGTGTAGCAGAGGGTAAAGTCATAGTTTCCTTCAGCTGCAAAGGGAAAAAGCAAATATTTTCTGGTACCTTTGTTCATTCCCTGTTATTGAAACCAAACTGATGTTATCTTCCTCTGTCTTCTTATCTAGTCATGTTTGAACATTTTTTTGGATTAGGAGAAAATGAGCCCAGCAGTAAAATCTTATCTCAATTGGCTATGTCTATAGTGCTAAAAATATTGGACTACAGAGCAAGCTCAAACTCTGAACCCAGCTGCTCATAATACTTAATAATTAACATAATCTCTGGCATGGTTTTCACCCTGTACTAACCAGCACTCCTAGACAATGCTTGGGGATTGCATGTGCTGAGAGCCATTCTCAGCCCCAGAGCTTTCTCTACTCTGCTATCCCTTACTAACCTAATTCCCATCCCTCCCATTTCCTGCACTATTCCAGCAAGTCTTGTACCTCAAACCCACATGCCGTGACACTCTAGAACCTGTAGCAGGTGCCCTCAGTAACATGGTCAAAAAAAAAAAAAAAAAAAAAAAAGCTGATTGATGATGGGTTGCAATATTTTTTTCATTTTTTCTTAAAAAAAAAAAAAAAAAAAAAAAGACATGATTGTATCTGTGTATCCAAAGACACCATCCCAGGCACAGAACCAAGGTCAAGAACGTTGTGTGGGTGTGGCTAGTCTGTGTCAGTTGGCCTTAAAGCTGATGACTGTTCTGTTGGTGTTTTCGGGTGTACCTGTTTTCAAGTGCAGATGCCACCAGTTGTTGCCAGGCTGGGGATGTAGGTCAGTGGTATTGTTTATGCAGAAAGTCACTGAACTTGGCAGGGTTTAGCTATTGATGGGCTGCACATTCTGAATATGAAGTCTAGAAACAGGTTAACAGGAAATGCTGAAGGAAGGTATGTAAGACCTATTTATTATTATTATTTTTTTTTCTCCCAGATTTGGAATCTAAAGGGGCTTCTCTAACCATTGGATTCAGGTGCTAAATCCTTTCCCCAGACTAAACACATAAACATTCAAGTAGGGCTCGCCTTCTTTCCTTCTTTAAAACACACTACGTGCTATCTATCCTATGAATGTAGCCTATTTTGTAAATACATGTGTATTCTGGGGAATTACTGAATTTCCTTCAAATCCAACAAACTTAATTCCATAGTTTCCACATCTTAATAAAGTGCCCTAACCATAAGGCTATAGCTTAGCCTGGGGCTCACAGTGTTACCCAAAGCACGCAGCTAGAAAGATTAGTTTTGCATCTACTCTGTACTAGGTGGATAATTTGTGCTGTTGTTAATATTTTTTGTTTTAACTCTAAAAGTAATGTAATCTCCACTAATCATCTAGGGAGCAATGATTAAACTTCATGTATAATTTCTTCCCATCAGAATGTTCCAACTATTTTGTAAAGTGTACACACCACCATAACATCTCTTCTCAGGCACTGATTCTGAAGGAACAGGTTCTGGTTTGGCTTAGGTTGAACTCTGCTGCCAATTCATGAGACTGTCCAATGTACAGTTACTACAGTAGGTCCTTTTGGCAGCAAACTTTAGATTTCTAAATCATAATGGAATTCAGATGCAGAAAAGGTAATGCTGCTCTGAACAATGTAATTTTGTAGTAAAAGTATAAATCTTTAGACTGAAAGGGAGGGGCTAATTGAATAAGACATTCCCAGAGTTAGAAGTCACTCAAGTGTATGTACGTTCTGAGACATGGATATTTTAATCTGTTTCCGGTGCCTAAAGCAGGGAACCTGAAATTCAATATAAGAGTATGATAAAAAAAATAATTTCTAAAAATCACAGGAAAAGACACCCTTCCATCACAATAGTAAAGGCTATTATTTGTATTCAAATAGCTGCAGACAATGGGGAATTCAGTCCTGAAGGAGATCAGAAATCTATTCTTGGTTTGTACAGGAAGCTGAAGGAAAAAATGTAGTGCTGGGATGGAATCTGCCTGGCATCTGCAAATGCCATAGAAGTTTAACAATTTTGAAGGTAATAATTCTGTTTTTTTGGCATAATTTTTATGATGTGCTTCAGAAATAGTCTTAGGGTGATTCACACACAAAACTATTATATCAGTGGTTGACTGCTATTGTAAACAGCCTTAGTCAAGAACCAGCATAAACACTATACATTAACAAAGTTGTTTGTATTAATTAATAGGCAGCTTGATCTAACTATATAGTGTAGCAAAGAAAAATACTTTACTCTTAAAGGTATGTTTGAGTTCTTTGAATAAATAAGATTTATCCTTTCTTGAGACAATAAGTAACTATTAGGTCATTAATTACAGGAAAGAGCTTGTAGCTTGGGAACTATTTAAAAAAAAAAAAAAAAAAAAAGACATTCTTATCTCCAAAAGTAAGTTTAATTTAAAAAAATCAGTGTCAAAATAAGGTAAATATGTGAATAGGGATAGAACAAACTGGCTGCGAACCTTAGAGGTGGTTGATATTTTACCCAATTTAAATAAAAAGAAATCACAGATTTATCAGAGAGAAGTTCTGAAATGTATCCATATGAAGTGAGGAATTGTGGGAAGTAAATATTGAGGAATTCTGGGAAGAAAAAAATATTTTATAACAACATAGACAGCAATAACAGGAGATTGAACTTGATTGAACTTGTTTGCCTAAGATACCCTTTCATATCCTGTTTCTAAGATCTATAAAGAACAAACCTCTAGTGGTGCTGTAAATGCACACTTCCTCTAAACAAAATTTTAAGTTCTCACTAAGGCACTTTTATGACTTCCCTAAAAACCTTGAAACTGCATAATCAACTGTTCTTTTAGTTTAAACAAATATTTCTATATATTTATATATGTTATATAAAGGTAAACTCTTAATACCTCTTACTCACTTTGATCTAAACGAGGCTCTAATTCCATCTACAAAGTTCTAAACCATCAGGTTGTGTAAAAATACCTATCCTTAATTTTCTCTCTCTCTCGCTCTCTGTGTAGGTGGGACAGAGAGAAGGGAGAGTTTTGTATTGAGCAAGTATTAATGTGGTAGGGAATTGAACCTGCTGGAATTCTGAATGAGATCTCTTAACTCAGTCTATGAAATACACAGAGACATGACATGGAAATAACAGGGAAGTAACTAAGCCTCATGAACAGAAGAATGAATGATGGCCATGTTGTCAAATTGTCATGTTTCAAATTTGCAATGCGACAGCATCTTAACTTTATTATTATTATTATTATTATTTTTAATCTTCATATAAGCATGTTAATTCTTTAAGAAAACAAACTGTATTTCCAGCATTTGGTAAATTTGAGAAACAATAAATAGTTCCTCTCCCCCCTCCTGTAACTGCAGTAATTTAGTAACACAATGCAAAATTAAACCTGTCCTATACTGAACATATCCATTGTGCCAAGTTTTCCCAATAGTATCCCTTAATTCTGTTCCATCCTTATCCATTGAAAGACTAAAGCTAAAACTGTTGTCATATGAGCAAAGGTGAGAAGAGTTGATGGCAATGTTGATGATGACACAAGTGTAAATTCCTCAATAAATGCATTTCCAGTCACTTCAAAATGATGTAAGTGCTAGACAAATGTGTACGTTACCAGAATTTTGAAAAGTTTATTACACATAAATGTAGAGTTATCATTATAGGT